AGCAGAGGCTGGAATGTGCTTAGTTTTGTAGGTATTTGGTTATTAAAGGAGGCCGCTAGGGGAAATGTCAGAAGTTTGACAAAGTTATTACAATACATGAATGTCTATACCAAAGTTCATGGCAATCCATCCAGTAGCTGTTCAGATGTTTTCATTGCCATCCCAAGAGCCAGCCTCAGAGTTGAACGCATACATTCAACACAGACCTCCAGGGTTGTTGTGGAAACAGTCCACAGGATCCATAACTGAGGAGCAACCAAGGGAAACTTTCTGTATCTGCTCTGTTTAAACTGTTTATGTTGCATTCTTCATTAATGAGATGCCAGTGAGGTGTGTTGTAGTGTAAATATCTGACAGCCTAGTCTGCGTGTCTTTCTTCCTGCCTGGGTCCTGAACAAACAGCTGCAGGACTGACCAACCACCTCCCTTCTGGTGGTCAGCATTTTAGTATCTTTAAAGCTCTAATCCTCAACTTTATAGTGTCTGTCCTGCACCTTTCAGAGTCTGACCATGTCCATCCTAAAGTAGATAAATTTGAAAATGCTGTTTACATATGGAAATTTATGTCCACACTAGCATTTTCAGGTCTTTTTCAAAAAGTTCTCCGTCCACATTGAAACTTGGAAAGCAACATCAAAGCTGGGCATTACGTCATTTGGTAGAGTAGGACAGTCAAAGGCCGGTTACTTTGCTGAGTGTGAGCAAACCTTAACTTTGTCACCTACTGTTCTCCGTGATCACATATTCTGTACTTCAGTATAGCCAAACTCTGAATTTAGTTTGCATTGACATGTTTTACTGTCAGACAGGGAAAAGAGTATAAAATAAGAATTTAATTGAAGCTAATAAATGCAAGCTTTTCACCTGGTTGAGAAAATCACTTTTTTATACTGCAAAGATATTTTGACATCAGTGATCACAGAGAGTTGTTTTCAAATTTAGTTGCTTAGTGTTATTTCCTCGAAGCTTAAAACAGCAAACATTCAGGAACACACTACAATACACAGATATATGTTGTCACATATAATAACATTTTGAAATTCTACTGTAGGCGATATCACTGTCTAACTTTACATTTTTTACAGTAAACTTTTTTTTAAGGGTTTTTTACATCTAGAATAAAACTGTGTAAGTGTACCAGTAAGTACATTTACTCAAACACTGTACTTAAGTACAAATCTGAGGTACTTACACATACAATTGAGTCTTTTCTTTTCACAACACTTTCTACTTCTACTGCACTACATTTCAGGGGGAAATATTGTACTAGTAGTACTTCACTACATTTATCTGACTTTCCAAATTAAGTTCCAAATTTGTGTATACAAAACATACAAAGTTCATATAAAATATGTTTTGCTTTAACCTAAACACTACAGTACAGCTAAAAAGGTTGATAAAGCCTTATTCAATTGATAGAAAATAAATTGGCAACTATTTTGATGATTGTTTAAATAATATTTGTACTATTGGTTGAATAAAACAGGCACTGTGAAGGTGTCCCTTTGGGCTCTGGGTGAATGTGGCACTATTTTCAGAATTTTTACAAACCAAACAATCAGTCGATTAATGGAGGAAATAATCAGCAGATTAATCAATAATAAGAATAATCATTAGTTGCAGTCCTATAGTTAAAATGAATTTACATTAATAATGCTTACACTTATTTTTTATGTCTTTACATTACCTTACATTACCTTTACCTTAAGTAACATTTTGAATGCAGTACTTTTACTTGTATCAGTATTTTTACAGTGTGGTATGAGTCATTTTTACTTAAGTAAAGGATCCGAGTACTTCCTCCACCGCTGCTGCTGATACCTTGTTTGCAGAACAACTTGGAACGTCGTTTAGCAAGATAAATACTGACTTTAAGATTCTAAATGTCAGCGCAGGAGGCCTGGGTGAGGAGGGTGAACAGCATATTGAACATACTTTAGGTAATGGTGTGAACCTTAACAGTGACCTAGCATGAGCCACAAACAACAGCGTTGATATTTCAACTCAAGGGCAAGTATAGCAGTGTTAATGGATGTGTGTGTGTGTGTGTGTGTGTGTGTGTGTGTGTATACATTTGTGCATGTGACATGATTGACAGGTGGTTTGCCACATCTCCTTCAATAGGGCCTCCCTTTTCACTGATTACTGTGTCAGTGTGTCTGTATCACACACACAATACTATGCAGATACACAAAGGGAGAAAAGCCCACTGTGGATCTCCCATCAGGCCAACTGCGAGAAAACACACAAAACAGATGCAGCAAATGTGTCCACTCTCATGCATATGGAGATGCTAACAGGGGTGTGCGTGCCTGTGCGTGCGTGTGTGTGTGAGAGAGAATATGTGTGAATATGTGTGTATATGTCAATAGACAGATTCTATGTAAAACGCATTAGCATTCAGTGATGATGATGGTCTTTCTAAAGGCTCTCATGGTGCCACTGCTCTCTCTCTCTCTCTCTCTCTCTCTCTCTCTCTCTCTCTCTCTCTCTCTCTCTCCTCTGTGGGGATGGGTTCATAATTAAAAGTGCTCCAGCTCTCTAACATGAGTGTTATGTCTGTGATTTAGACTATATGGCACAGATTGATCAGATAAGGAGCCAAAGTCATATTTCTTTACTGCTAAGCCTATTCACACTGAGAGCACTGATCCTCTCTCTCTCTCTCTCCCTGCCTGTCTCTCTGTCATCCTCTCTCTCTCCTCGCTTTTGTGTTTGTCTCTGAGTCTTTAAATCTTCCTCTAGCAAGGATTCTGCTGCTTTCTCCCTCCTATTTTTTTACAAACCCTGTCTCACCGCTGTGGTGTTTCTGCACTGCACTTCCAAAGATCACCTGTCAACACCTTGGTGTCTTCAGTTTGTGCAATTAGATGTAATTCCCTTATGCGTGCAATGATGGGTATGTTGTGTGTGTAAACAGTGTCCACGGACGTTTGTCTCATTTTCTGTTTGAGTTTCAGCATGGCTAATATCATGTAAAACTTGCATTAGTCTGTGTGCCAGTGGATTGTGTTGTGGGGTGTTTTGCAGCATATGAAAAATATTTCATGAACTGACGAAAGTTAAGCAAAATATGTGTTTATTTATAAAAATAAAGCAGATTATTTCATTTAAAAACTGTTTGTGAAGAAGATGAATAACTGGAATAATTATGTTTATTGCATTTCTATCATATTTTATCTTTGCAATGACATAGAGAGGAAGTGAATTGGTGAGAGGGTTTGTTCAGGCTTTTTAGGAAATAATGTGCAAAGTAAACCGTCCCACATCACAGAACTGCCTGTTCACTAGCAAAAAGTTGTTAATGTTCGAAACTTTGACCTTTTAACCCTTAACATGACGCAAAATGATGCATTTTTAATCTGAAGATCCTCGTGTTGCTTTTTTTGTCAGGCATTTTTTAACGGCAAAATATCTGTCACTAATATTTGTTTCAATGCTTCCTGTGTGAAGGAGGCCGTTGTAAGACGCGAGGCCTCGTTGTTAACCCACTTTGTGTTTCAGTGTTGTTACATGGGATTGATATAAAGCTGAGGGATAATGGTTGCAAGAGGAAACTGACTCTGTGTGTGTTTACTGGTGTGTGAGTGTGCAGCTCTATGAACTATGCCAGGCGAGTTGAAATGGGATTCTTTGCTCTCTTCTCCTCACCTCCCCTGTCCTCTATTATCCCCCCTTTATCCCCTCTCTCCTCTCTGCCCTTCTCTCCTTCCCTCTCCATTCATTTCACTCTCCCCACCCTCACCCCTCATCTAGTGCCTGTCTTCTTCTGCTGAGTCCCCCCTCCAGCCTCACCCTCCACCCCTGTGATAGACAGGGTGTCCTCACCTTGTAACGATCAGTGACATCCAATATGTTTGGCTTGGGATCATCCCCTGTGTGTCCATTGTGCTTTCTGTTAAACGCTTTATTGATTAGCCATGAGTTAATTAGAAATTACATCAACCGTGGGCAGACTGAGGTGGCTTGTACATGGCTGCAGGATCCATCCTGGAGGAGCTAATACATGTTGACCGCACACACCTGCAGGCGTGCATCTCAACGTTAGCAGGTTACATTAGTCTACCTGATTTCCCCACCTATTAACATCCATGCATTTATGACATTTCACAGTGCCTTATCAATGCTTTAAGGGCATGCAGTATTTTCTGTAGTTAAAAAGGGTTGAATTAGAAACAGGAGGTTTCTGCAAGACACCAACGGTATGCACCCTGAATACTTAATTCTATCGAGCACAACTTGACTCACCCTATGCAAAATTATGAGACTGTGCCAAATCCACAGCAGACCTTTGGAGGCTAATGTATTCTGGATTTAAGCTCCATTGTAAAATCCATAACACGCCTGCACCTGACCTGCTCTGCTGCAGCCCCCAAAAACAACCTCTCACCTCTGACTTTTGCAGAAAGTTAACAATAATAATAATAATAATAATAATAATTATTATTATTATAATAATAATAATAATAGGCTAATAATAATAATGGTTGCAACCTGCAGCAGCAAGCACTTTTTCAAGCCTTTTTCCTTTTCATGCCGTGTCAGTTTCTCTTTGACATTGCCGTGTACTTTGTGCAAAAAGAAAAAGGAGCGAAAAAAATCTTTATCAAATCCCCATTCTGAGGCTTTCAATAAGGCAGGCCATTACCTCACTGGCGCTTTTGTTCGGCCTATACAAGAGAGAACAAAATGGTTATTCAGGAGGACGCTTTAGATTTTTATTGTGGGCTCGCTATTCACAAAGAGCACCGTTATTGTATTAAAAAGAACCATCTGTGGCAGAAACAATGGCTTCAAATTATCTGTGAATACCCAGTGAACAAAATATAAAGCTTTTTCCTGCTCATTATGTGGGCTAAGCTAGGGGGTGGAAGATAGGAGAGGAGAGGCATAGACTTTGCTATAACTGACTTTTGTTGTTCTTGCTTGCATTCTTCTCCTTTTTAAATCGGCCCCCTTTTCACATTGTGTGTCGCCATAAACGGCTTTTCTTGTTGCAGGGCTCGCGGAAAGAAGACAGCGGAGCTCCAGACAGACAGCGGGGCTCCACGGGGCTGCACGCCGGGCAAAGTGCGCCGGCTGCCGGATCAAAACCGCGCGGACTACCGGGCAGGGGGTGTTGGTGGGGGGGAGGGAGCATGTGGAGGGTGCCGCTTGGACGTTTCACGGCCGGCGTCGGGAGTTGTGTCCCGGACACGTTGAGGCTTCCTGACCGGGGAAAGCGAGTGGAAGATATGAAGGAGGTTGAGCGAAATGGCATCTTGTTTAATTTCTGCCAATCAAGACGAGAGGAAGACAACTCCCAAACTGGCAGTAAGTTGGAGTGCGGTGGAGAGGAGAAGCCCTGTGTGTGTGTGTGTGTGTGTGTGTGTGTGTGTGTGTGTGTGTGTGTGTCGGTGTGTCGGTGTGTATGTTAGTGTGTGTTTGAGTCGGTGTGTACGTAAAACATGCAGTGTTGTGGAATGACACCGCATGGCATCATGAGCTTGACTGACTGCCTGAGTTGTTGTTGTTGGCCGGTTTGATTTTCTCCTCAGCTCAGAGATCGTTTGTGCAGACAGAATGTACTCATCACATTTCAACATGTGTTTTCTTTATGTAATTGAAATCTATTTATTTATTTTACCCCTTTCAGTATTTATTTTGAACGATGTTAAATAATACAAGGTTTGAATTGCAAATCAAAGTGAACGCCCTGGTTTATTTAGTACTTACATTCAGGCGCTTTTATTAGACTATTAGAGACATTTGTTATATTTTATTCTGCCGATTATCATGTTTTAAATTGTTTTAAATTCTGACTTTAATATTTTAATGCATCTAAAAACATTTTGTAATTTTTACAACCTGACAGGCTTTTATGCTTTATGCTATCATCTAATTTATTTAGTTTAGCATGGCACTAAACCAAATAAATGCATGTCCTAATATATTTCGGAAAGAAAATAAATATATAAAAACTATAAACAAAAAAAATATTTTGTGACATTATAACAAATAATGACTTGCGCATCGGTCTAAAGCCTCAATGGTGTATAATTCATATAATTGAGAACAATTTTATTCCTGCATTTATCTGGAAAAAAAAATAGCTTTTCGTATGTATTCCACAATTATTTCCAAGGAGGACTTATTAATGTTTCCATAAAGTATTTTCTTGGCTGCATCTCCAGCCTCTGGTACGGCCCCTAGTGGCAAGAAAAGACAAGTTTATTTCCATTTCACATGAAATCTGTCTCTCTTATTGCCATATATACATTATTATTTCTGTTTCTCTTTAACATAAGTCGTTTAATTGATTTTGACATGTGCATATTTACACTGTATTTCAGCTCAGAAATTGTATTTAGAATAATGTTACTTTGATAAGAGTTCACGCGCCTGTTAGAATATATTTTCGGTTATATTGTTGCTCTTTTTTGACGCTTGTTTTTGCACTGATCCCATCACCTAAATTTGTGCAACCACAAAACAGTATTTTGATATCACAGCGTGCTGCTCGCTATATTTGCTGTATCCATCCCAACCTGGTGTAGCAGGGGGCTTACAAGTGGTCCGAGGGAGCCGCCCCGCTAGTTTCTCCTGGTTTTTGTCAAACAACGGCTTTAATTCGGGATGATTGTGGATGCAGGGCCATTCCCGGCTGGATGGGGCCTGCTTTCAGAGAGCTGCAGGGCCCCGCTGTTCCTTTATTATCATAAGCAGATTAGAGGTAGCGGGGAACACACTCAGATGCAGATAGCAGCCGAGCGGCCCATTTCAACCTTGCATTATAATGGACCGAGCTGCATGTGTCGCCTCTCGCAGCCTATTAAGCACAAGATGAATCTTATGTAAGGTTGCCGGGGCCGGCATAATGAGAGCACGGGGGCTCCGCTCCTCCATTTATTATCAAATGACTAAAACAAAATAATAAGGCTTGATCTATTCACTTTCAATTATGATTTAATCTAGAGACACGCATTTAAATTAAATTATTTCAGGTGTATGTACTTGATCTATCTTTAATTATTGGGGTTGTCTGGCTTGCAGATCCAGACAGGCAGATGTGTGGCTGTGGTGTGACTGAATATCTCGTTAGATTTTTGTTATTGGGTAATAAATATATATTTTAGGATTTTTTAATTTTTTTTTAGCATTTCCTTTATGTTTAACTCTAAAAACAGCCATCCTCTATTCCCTCTCTCTATAATTTATGAAAGCCCTGTCTGGGCTTTTGGAGCTGCGTGTAGTTCTGCCTCTCTCCAGTAGGCGGCACTGGTGTCACGCAGCAGGACGCCTGGTCCTTTCGATGGAGATTCAGAGGGGTGGGGGGGAAGCAAAACAAGTGGCACCAACACTTCCAACCTCCCAAAAAAACTTTAGTCGTTTTGGACATTAAGACCATATGAGGGAATTATTTCGTTTTTAATGCGATGATGCCGGTTTCCTCTCATAATAATCGCAGTCTGGTCGGTTTGAGCCTCAATAAAGTGAAGCAGGTGGAGGCCGCCTTTCATTCACACTAATTGGCTGACACGCTTGTTCAGGCTTATATGAATGAGCTGCGCCTTTTGTGCAAACACACTTTATCTTAAAATATTCCTCACCTTTATTTCTCCTCCCCTCGTGTCCCCGGTAGGCCGTATCCCCCCCCTTCACTACAAAGCCCTAACAACAACAGCAGCACTGTGGCAGTGGAAGTGGAGTGGAGTTGGGTCTTTGTCCGGACAGATGTAGCGACAACATCCCAAACAAAAACCGCTTATTTGTGCTGAGATGAGCCCGTCTGCCTTCTGTGTGTTGGCATTCAACTTCACTAAACAAAAGGACTGGGGGAAACATCTTGGATTACCTTTCCTCTTTTCAACGCTAAAAACCAGCCGTGGCTTTTCCCCCCCTCACACACACACACACACACACACACACACACACCAGCGCCATTCAGTGCTTTGAGTTAACTAACAAAGTTTATTTAAGTGTTGTTATGTTATTGGGGCCGTAAGTGGGGGGAATTAGTGACTTTTTGATTTTGAACAAGAGCAATGTCACGGGCCGGGACTTAATGTCAGAACAATGCTGTTCCCGACCTTCACCATTCAGACGATACTGACACCATTAACGTGAACATTTGATGAATATAACACTTTTTAAAAAAATATTTATTTCATTCTTATATTGCTTATATGTGAGCCTTTGGATATGAGCAACTCATTTAAATAAAAATCAGCCAAAACATAGAATTGCCTATTTTTATATTTTTCTAGAAACTCTTAAGATTTTTTTTTTTATCATGAACTTTTTTGTGCTATTTTACCCATAAAGTTTACAAGCCGACATATTCTCATCTCCCTACAGACAGCAAGGTTTTGCAGCAACCTCTTCCTCTGTATAATGCTTGAAAAGGTCCAGAAAGTGCCACCATATACATATTCCCAGAGAAATCTCTCCATAAGCCCAGAAATAGTAAATATGTACTTTGTATTGGCTCATATGGGCAGGCTGAGTGTGCGTATATGTGTGTGTGTGTCGGGGCAGAGCAGACCCCGCCCATTTATGCTAATTAATGCCTCCCATTGGTGTGTCAGGGGAGCAGGCCGGCTCTGATTGGCCAGGTCGAAGCCATTTATTCACTGACAGCCCCGTCACATGAATGGTTGTCTATTAACTTGTTCAAAAACTATCTGGAGTTGTCAAGGCTCAGGCGGACAGAGGCGAAAAAGTACAGTTTGTTGATGCTTTTTCGGAGAGGCGACGGGAGAAGTTTTGTGGACACAACATAGCAGGGACCTATTGGGAGAAGCCTCTTTGTCACACACACTCTGACACACACTCAGCGAGAGGGAGAGAGAGAGAGAGAGAGAGAGAGAGAGAGAGAGAGGGAGAGAGTGTGTGGAGACGCGGCTTGGTGCGTGTTGTTTTTTCTGTCCAGAGAAAAAGTTGCAGAGAAAAACCCGACAGGTAACTTTGAGCTTCAGCCCTGCGCTCCTCCTCACTGTCCTGCCTCTGGCTTGTGGAGTTTGTCTCTGTGCGTTTTTTCCTTCTGCTCGGGAGCTCCGACTAAAAAGCTGTTCCTGATGTATAACATGATGGAGACTGAACTGAAGCCCCCAGCTCCCCAGACCAACACGGGGGGCTCGGGCAACACCAACTCGTCCGGCACCGGCGCCAATCAGAAAAACAGTCCGGAGCGGGTCAAGAGACCCATGAACGCGTTCATGGTGTGGTCCCGGGGCCAGAGGAGGAAGATGGCGCAAGAGAATCCCAAAATGCACAACTCGGAGATAAGCAAGAGGCTGGGCGCAGAGTGGAAACTTCTGTCGGAAAGCGAGAAGAGACCTTTCATCGACGAAGCCAAGAGGCTGCGGGCCCTGCACATGAAGGAGCATCCGGATTACAAATACCGGCCCCGGCGGAAAACCAAGACCCTCATGAAGAAGGACAAGTACACCTTGCCCGGCGGGCTGCTGGCTGCGGGAGGAAACGGGATGGGAGCTGGGGTCGGTGTAGGGGTGGGGGGCGGGCTGGGCGGTGGGGTGAACCAGCGGATGGACAGCTATGCGGCGCACATGAACGGCTGGACCAACGGTGGCTACGGCATGATGCAGGACCAGCTGAGCTACCAGCACCCGGGGCTGAACGCGCACAACCCGAGCCAGATGCAGTCCATGCACCGCTACGACATGAGCGCCCTGCAGTACAACACCATGACCAGCTCCCAGAGCTACATGAACGGCTCCCCGACATACTCCATGTCCTATTCCCAGCAAACCACGCCGGGGATGACCGCCCTGGGCTCCATGGGGCCCTCCTCGGTGGTGAAGTCCGAGTCCAGCAGCTCCAGCCCGCCCGTCGTCACCTCGTCATCCCACCGGGCCGGCCCGGGCTGCCAAAGCGGAGATCTGAGGGACATGATCAGCATGTACCTGCCCGGGGCGGAGGTCAGCGAGCAGACCGCCCAGACCAGGCTACACATGTCCGGGCACTACCAGAGCACCGTGCCCGGGACGACGATCAACGGCACGCTGCCGTTAACACACATGTAAGAGACACACAGCAAAGAGAGAAAAAAAATAACTTTTATAAGAGAAACTGTGGACTATTAACGTTGGACTATTTTTGTACAGAAAAATTTCGGGGTGGGAAAAGTTGTATAGAAGTCTCAAGGAAAAGGACACACGACTCTTTTTTTTCTTTCATTTTATTCTAAGGAAGCTCTAGAGGAACGGTAGGAGATCCCCTCTTCACTGGTGGATGAAGTTTGGAAGACTAGAAAGTGGGAGTCGCAATCAAATGTTTTATTATTGCAATCACCTTTTGTACAGTATTTATCAAAGAAACATTACAATCAGATGAAATTGTTTGTTAAACTGCAAGAGGTTGCATTTTTCTTTTCTTTCTTTTTTTTTTTTTTATATATATAAAGCAACGCCAGTTCTGCAGAAAATATTAAAAGTGAAACAGGCAGAACTGCAATTTATATGGGAGCGATCAGTTATGCTCCTTTATTACTGCAAACATTGGAAAGAAAAGGGACATAAAACGAAGCAGGTAATACTTTTTTTTTTTTTTTTTTCATTTAAGGTCAATATTACTAAACATTTTAATTTCTTAAAAAAAAAAAAAGATAAGACACTTTTTTTTCCTCTCATACAGCTTAAAATATAGGTTGTTAATTTATATTTCCGTCTCCCACTTTTCATCTGTTAGAGGTATGACGCTTGTGCTCTTTATTTTCTAATTGATTTGTACAATTTCTGTATATTTACTGTGATATTTTAAGTTTTTATTTCAAAATTCATTCCCGTAGTTGTATTTTAAAAATTGTGGCCTGTACGCAGAAGCCAACCACTCCATGTATATATATACCGGAACTAATACCATCCTTATAACAGTTACAATTTCAGCTGAGTATATTTTTTTTCAATATGCAGTTTGAAATGAATAAATTTTGGAAATTTGGATACTTGAAATTGTTTGAGTTTTGATTTTTATTTCTCTCAGTCATTTTTATGTGTGCAGGCAGTCATTCACATGTTGAGTGTCTGTGAAACTGTTCTGTCTTTCTTCTGATGTTCATTATTTACTGTACATTTAACACTGACTCTTGACATCTGAATGTCTTTTATTAGACTTCACCTTACAGAAATAGCAGGGGTTTTTTGGGGGGTAGGGATGAGGGGGTGTGGGGGGGGGCATTGCCTCTTTTAAACTCTCATCAAATAATTAAGTTTGTGCGTCGTGGTTAACCACGTTTCTATTTTTCTAGTGCCTGCGGATGGCCCCATCAAGCCAAAGTTTCCTATAAAGGGGAAGATTTTTCCAACCAAACATCCCCAGGTAGACTGTCATTTCTCCTCTTCTATATAATCAATCCAAAAAAATCTAATTAGCATTGCTGTTGAGGCCCAAGTTAACATTTTAAAAATACATTTTATTTTTAAATTAATATAACACTGCATTATATATTATTTTATAGACGTAGTATTTGGGGCCTGCCTTTGAATGGGACATGAGACTGAGGGAGGGATAATCAGACAAGCTGCTGCCAATATTATAAATTATAGTTAGTTATTTTACATTTGTGTGAACTGACAGGAGGATTTCTGTCATTGGTGGGCTTTTATTTTAATGACACCTGACTGTGACAGCAGCACATCTGGATATTTATGAGTATTTACAGCAACCTAATCTCATGAGCTCAGGTCTTTTTTCATGATGTAACACTTCCTCTTGATGTTTGCTTTTATCTAACAAGGGCTCTTACTTTTTGGACGCTTTTTTCCGTTTTTATTTTAATGATCTCCAACTCATGGAGCTGCTTTATCCGCCCAAATGTTCAGCTCGGTCTAAACTGAAGGTGCCCCCCCGAAAGGAGCCAGGCTCCATATAGAGTGTGGCCATTTTAATTTAATGTTTAATCAAACGGGCCCTGCTGTTTCCCGTTAACCCCGGTTCTCACGGTTCAAGCTCTCCGGTGACTCCTCCACCACCTCCTCCTCCACCACCTCCTCCTGCCTTTAAAAAAAAAACACGGAACCGGTTCCAAAGTGTTCCCATGCATCTCTCTGCCAGCCAGGCTGCCCCCCAACCCCCCCCCTATAATAATAATCCTTATGATGAGCTAACTGGTCGCTCTGAATTTAACTAACGGTTTTAAATCTGGGGGGAGTGTGTGTGTGTGTGTGTGTGTGTGTGTGTGTGTGTGTGTGTGTGTGTGTGTGTGTGTACAGCGGGGTAGATTAGGGCCGTTGTGTCTTGCAGGCTGGGTCCCGGGGGAGCGCAGCTCACATTAACCGGCAGATGAATATTTGAAGAGGCCCCTCGGTATTTATCCGTCCACTCCCCTCTGTCTCTCTCTCTCTCTCTCTCTCTCTCTCTCTCTCTCTCTCTCTCTCTCTCTCTCCCCCTCCTCTATCTCTCTCCCAGCCGGACTTTCAAGAGGTCAAGGGATCGCTGCTTGCTCCATTAATTATTGATCCGAGCAGCTGAATTGGTTGTAATAGGCGAGAACACCGGTGATAAACAAAGTGTTTTTAAAAGGTCGGACGAGCAGAGGCGCATTAAAGTCTCATTTTTTCTTTCCATGAACACCGGGCCCCTGCAGGCCCGGAGGCCCCGCGAAATGATTATTTTTTTTTCCCCGGCTGAGCGCACCTTTGATGTGAAAAGCTTTTTGAATCAAGAGAATAATTGATGTATTTGATGGTCATCTTGTATTTTCTGTGAAGAATCATAAAAAAGCTGTAGTTTCTATGTAACGCCTGTAAAGACTGATTGTTGACACCATCAGGAGCCTCAGCTCCAGGCCCAGACTGCTTTAAAAACTAAAGTATTTCACACCTTTATCGGGTTCTATTTGATACTGATGCCATTTTCTCAGGATGTTAGATTTTTCTTTTTATTTAAAGAGGAGGCTTTTTCCCCTTTTTTTTACTCCTTTAGTCGTATTTTCTTGTCAAAAGCTGCTTTAAAAATAAAAATCAGTCTTTCTAAAAACACTCCCTTCCCATGTGAGTGAGGCCAAGTAGTCACAAACTAGGACACGATAAATGTTCACTCTGAAAACACTGATATCGCGCTATCTCAGTAGAAAAATATTAGCCCGCATTCAGCCCCTGTGCTTTCCAAAATGTGATTTAATCTCAGAGGCGCTTTAAGCTCAGTGGCGCTCCTGTTCAAACATTAAATAAAGGCGCTGCACTGCGCTGAGGGGTGAGACAAGGAATCAAGTGTCTGCACCTCGTAGGTGACAATATGGACGGGGACGCTTTGTGCTAATGGTTCAGATTAAAGTGCTGTGGAGGGCTCAGTCTGGTTGTCTCTGATGTTAAAGAAAAAAAAAACCCTCACTGTTCCTCCACAACGCGGAACAACCAGGTGTGCTTTGTGTGATATAGGTAGAAGCTGGGAGGCCCGGTCAAGGTGTTCCCCTACACCCCCCCCCCCCACCCCCCTTCCATCCATCCATCC